AGACAAACAAAAAAGTCGACGACATATACGGCGATTGTATGGACACAACACCAATAAGACTATGCAGTCGTTCGACCAAATGTTGAACAACTATTCGCCAGCTGTATGTCCCATATGTCTGGACGATGAGATTGAAGCCGACGATCTGATTGTCTATCCGTGTCTGTGTACCGGTGGATATCATTTTACTTGCCTAGTGTTGGCATTGATGCAACCGGCCTACTCGCGCGATGGCAACAAATGCAAACAATGTCGGCAACCATTACGACACGAGTTGATTGTCGAGCATTTCAGGAATACGTTTGGCCAGTATAGTCGACAGTACTGTCCGTTTGATAGGAAATTCAAACTACTGTCACTGGCCGTTGCTATCTATGGATTCATGTATCACTACCTGGCCGACCAACAATCAGTGAGTACTCTACCGTTTATTGTTCGCAAAGCAATAGAGCTAACCTATCCTTTTATGATCGGATTTTTCGGTGGGTTTGTTACCCATGAGTTGTTTGAATATTGTAGGAATTTTTTCGAATGGCGTCGACTGAACGAAACCGAACTGTTAACGGAACTGGAGTTTCGCGACTACAATCCGCTTAGCCGTAAGTATGATCCCGGTGTCAGTACACGTCACGATCCGGTTCCCGGTGCCCAATACGACAGAGATCGGGAACATTTGCGCGATTTGCATGAAGCAGCCAATAATATACAGGCACTAATGGAGGAACGGGTACAGGTGCTCAACGAATCGGATCCACAACAAGTTGAACAGTTCAACAATGGTTTGCACAATTGGGTCGATATTTTGGACAATCAATACGAACTATTACTACAACGACCCGAATTAGCCAACGATCCCTATGCTATGAATCAGTAAATTATAAATGATTTCAAGTACTGTATATAAATTTTAAAATATTGTTACTAATCTATAGTTTGTTTTATTATTTATTTATTTTTGAGGAATATATTCATTTGGTTAAAAAATGATAAAAAAATATTATTTTTTAAAAATTAATCTAAATCTATATCATCTAAAATTAGATCTCTCTCTCTCTCTCTCTCTCTCTCTCTGTGTGTGTGTGTGTGTGTGTGAGTGAGTGTTTTATAACATTTTTAAACAATTAATTATATATTTTTTTTTAAATTTTAAACAATTTTATGAAATTCTGATCGAAATATGAAAGTTTAATACAAATATTTAATTTCACGACAGATTGCAATCCAAGTGGACAGTTATCCTCTCCTCATCCTCCACTGAATCCAACAAAATTTTTAAAAAATATGTCTAAAAATCAATGGCAACCAACGCTTATGAGACAGTTATTGAGACAATGGATTACTCGGCTTCAGGATATTTGGCGACAACATTCCAGACGACCACAGTTTCCAGCAATAGAAGGACCGCCGGTAAGGTTGGCAATTGAGGCACCGCCCGGTCCACTGCAACCGTACGGTGCAGCTGCTGCTGCTGCTGCTGATGCTTCCAATGTAGCTGACAATGGTGTCGAAAAAGATGTGGATCAACTATGGGAAGAAATGGCAATAAAATTGAACGAAATGATAGCTAAAACCGGAGCAAACCAATTGCAGGCACCGCCGCCAGCAAACCAACCGGTTGTACAGTTGGAGATGAAAATGAATCCAATGGTTGCCAAATTTTTTAACCAATTGGATGAACAGTTAGCTAATGCCCAGTTAGCCGAACAGCAGGCAGGTATCGGTAAACAAGAACAAGGGTTAGTGGGAGCCGTTGGTGGTGTACCGCAACCACCTCTGCCACAAATACAAGAACCATTTGAACCGGACTTTCAAGAGCACTGTCCTATTTGTAGGCGTGACGATGACGATCCAGATAATGATCCCGATAGAAATCCAATTGTCTATCCGTGCATTTGTCCAGCCGGCTATCATTTGCGTTGTTTGAACCGAATGATGACACAGGACAGGTATGTTGGCTGGTATGATGGATTGCGTACGTGTCCTGTTTGTCGCCGATTGATAAACTATCCATTGTTTAATATGGTTGAACGTCGGCCAACCAGAGCCCAGTTTCACCAGTATCTCGAACAGAGATATCCGGGTGGCTGGCAATCGGTTCAACGCAAACTGGAACGGGCGGCCCGACGCTGTCAATTGTTTGTCGATGCACTGTTACCGGTGCTGCTGACCATACGGCACCCGTTGATAACGTTGCCAGTGTTTTATATCTGTTTGATCGGATGCATTGCCCTAATGGTGATTACCGGTATGTTGTCTAGTAATTGGCTCAAACAGTATCGGCAATTTCTAAGACATTGGAACCACACGGACGAGTCGCTGCCATTGCTGGACTTTATTGACTTTAATATGTCAACCGGTGAGTATCAGTCGGGTATTGTTTCCCAATACGATCCGTTACCCGAACGCCGACTGCAACAGCCACGCGAAGAGCTCCAGGATATTGAAGAACAGATATCGCTGGTTATGGCCGATCTGGCCGACAATTATGCCCAAGTGGACCAACTGGACGAACAACAACAGCAACAATACCACGAACGACACCAAGTATTGAACTATTGGCGCGACCAACGGGAACGGCTGTTGCGTGAGTGGCCCGATCTTAGAAAGTATCAATAAAATTGTGAACAGATTTAATTAATGTAAAGCTCAGGTAGTTTAATAATATTTTATTATTTTTTAAAAATACAATATTTTATTTAATTAATTGTCTATCTCTATCTCTATCAAACTAAGTGGGGGGGGGGGTTGACCAATGTTAGACTATGCTTTACATAAAGTTATTAACCATTTTATTTTAACAATTAGTATTTATATATTTTAAGTTATAATTTTATTTTTTTTAAATAAAAATTGAAATTATTTTTGGATTAGAAAAGTGATAGACAAGAACAGCACAGTTATCCGCACCGAAATCCAATAGTATGTCCCAAAAGCAATGGCAGCCAACGTTTATGAGACAGTTGTTGAGAGAATGGATCAATCGGCTCCGGGATATTTGGACACAGCAAGCCAGACAGCCACAGTTTCCAGCATTAGAAGCGGTAATGACGGTAATTCGGGAACGATCCCGTGAAGACAACCAATTGGCTGTCGAGAATGTCGTCGAGCAGGATGTGGATCAACTGTGGGAAGAGATGGCCCAAAAATTGAACGAAATGGTAGCCAATGCCGAGGCAAACCAATTGTTGCCACCGATGCCCGAAGTGGTCGTTGACGAACCGGTCGTACAGTTAGACAATATGAAAATAGAAATGAATCCAATGGTCGCCAATTTCTTTCAACAATTAGATGAACAGTTAGCTAATGCCAAGTTAGGTGGAGAAGCCGTCGCCGGTGGACAAGAGTTAATGCCCGATGAAAATCTATTAGGAGCCGTAGGAGGTGCTCCAGCGCCAGTAGCTCCAGCAGGAGGTGTACCAATTGCCGGACTTGCATTTGACGATGTAGAAGTGGGTGAAGAAGGTATGGCAATAGGACAGCAGCATTTTGTTCAGCCAAATTTTTGGGATCCAAATGTACCCGTAAATCAACTACCCGACTACTGTCCAATATGTCGATGTACTGACGAATCGGACTCGGATCCTATTGTTCAGCCGTGCTTCTGTCCTGGCGGCTATCATATGTCGTGTCTGATCCAATGGGCACAACAAGACAACAGTGCCTATGAAATCGAGTCCATGGGTCTCAGATGCCCGAACTGTCACCAATTATTGAATGACTCATTAATTAGACGACAGTCCCGTCGGCCAACCAATGAACAATTTAACCAGTACTGTGAACGCCGTTGTCGGGGTCGGTGGCCATCGGTTCAGCGTAGACTTGGATGGGCGGTATCGCGCTGGCCATTGGCTGGCTTATTCCTGCCGGCACTACTGATGTCTCAGTTAGACTGGATGTCGGCGCCGGTGTATTTTCTTTGTATTATTGTCATCATTGGCGTAATGATGGCCACCAGACAACTGGCAACCAATTGGAGCCAAAATTATAACGATTTTTATAACTATGATTGGTATGGTATGCCCGAATCGTTGCCAATAATCGAGTTTCTTGATTATAATTTGGACACCAATAGCTTCGAACCGGGAGCTAAATCCTATTACGATCCGCTTCCCAATCGTCAACTGCAACAGATTCGTCGACAACTTGAAGAAGTTGACGAACAGATTTCGCTGGTTATGGCCGATCTTGCGGACAACTTTGCCGTAGTGGACCAGCAGGACGACGAACAGCAGCGACAATACCACGAACGACACCAAGTGTTGAACTATTGGCGCGAAGAAAGGCAACGACTGTTGAGAGAGAATCCCGAACTCAGTAAATATCAATAGATTTTTTTTGTTTGATTGATTGAAAATGATTTTTATTACAAATTAATTAAAAAGTTATTTTGAAGTTAACCATTACATCCATAAGCTAACTAACTAACTGTCCATCAGTATATACAACAAGTTAAAGTGATTTTATACATTTTTTAAAAATTTATTAATTTAATATATTCAAACTATTATTACAACTATCGACTAATTAATTGTCTAACTAATAGAGTAGGGCTTAAAAAAATATAACAACTTTAATATTTACTTTTAAATTAATTTATTAATTACATTTAAATCAATAGTTATTGAATCTCTATCTAAATAAGTCATAACTAAGCTATAAATAAAAATATTTTTAAAATAATTATAATTTGTTATATTTTAAGTTATTTTTTTTAATTTACATTAGATTATAATATTGTAAAAAATTGTAGAAAATAAATGTATTGAATTTAAAATATAATTAATTTATTATTTTGTATTTAATTAAATACTAATAGTTTTTTAACATCAGTATATACTGTATTTTTTTGTATAGCATATATACTGTATTTATACTGTATTTACGATTTAGATTAGATAATACAAAACAATCAGTAAATTTTGTTAATTTGATTTTTTTTTGTAAAATTTATTTAATAATGAAACTAAATATAATTTTTTTTGATTAATATTTTCTATTATTTACAGAAACGACTTATTAATTCGTGGATTACGTATAATACGGTGATAGAAGTCACCGGCAATCAGGACAGGTATATCGGTAAATGAATCATATTTAGTCAGTTCAACAATAAAACTGTCCAACGATGGCAATGGTTGGCCATTGATTTCGATGATAACATTGTCGACATTAAGATTATTGCTTTTGAGAATATTGTCAACAAAAAAAACAAAAAATCAGTTATTTATCTCTTTATTTTGTTTTTTTTTGTAAAAAAAATTATTTAAATCTCTTACTTTTCAAAAGTTTCCTCAAACTTGTCAACTATTTGACAGCCCATCAGTTGGTGATTCCATCGTAAGCACAGTCCTAATCTAAGTCCATGTTCTGCATCCCTGCGCTGCCATTCCTGATCATCAAAAAATAAGGCACCTTTGATAAACCCTATGATGCAAATAAAAAAATTGTGTTAATTTTTATTATGACTACAGTACTAATTATATTACTTACTTTCTATACAATAGGCTGGTGTCGAATAGTGTAGTAGACCGTCCATTGCGGACATACAGAGAATGCCGGCCAACTGTCCGTTTTGGTTGACTAGTGGTCCGCCGGAAAAACCACCCCTCTGTGTGGCTGTCGACTCGATCATTGTAATCGGCTGGCTATTGTACAGTACATCTGGACGATTGGTATAGGTGGTAGAGTCTGGACAGGTAACAATGCCGGCGCCCATATCGTATGTAGGATACCGGTGCCCGAAACCCAGTGTCAGCATTTCGTCGCCAAACTCGACCGACTGTGCTATAGTAAACGGCTGGACTGGGAGACCTTGAGTCGGAAACCAGATAAGTGCCAAATCCATGGTATGATCGGTAGATAGGATACGGCCGTATCGGCGTTCGCCGCCGGAATTGTTGCACAGTATGATTGTGTGCCACAAATCTTTGACTACATGTTCATTGGTTATGACAAACAATGAATTTTGATACTCGACCAGACATCCTGTTCCGTGTGTTGTAAAGGCAATGACTGTACAGAATTTGGTCGACAAATTGTCGATTATATTGTCATTTAAATCCATGTCCATCAATGTGTAAGTAGTTTTTAGTTGGCCAAACAACAGCACAGGTAGACGATAATAATGTTTGCAATACATTGACAGCCCTATCATAGTTGGGTAAGTAATCTGTTGTTTAAATCGTTGATAACCATTAAAAGCCACAAAATATGACAGACATTGATAGCTGAGATATTAACCACAAAATAAAAAGAAAATAATTAAATAATAGTTTTTTGTGTTTTTGTTATTATTATTATAACAATTTCAATGGAAATTGTGTGCTTCAAATCAACAACAACAAAAAACCAAACAAACTTTTTTGTTAATAATTGTCTCAATAGTTGTCTCATTTGATTAGTTGTAAGTCAATTGACATTTAATTTATCAAAAAAAAAAATTGATAAATTAATTGAAAAACTGCTGTCAATAAAAATAGTTGAAACAATTTAACCGTTATATAAAAATATTTTGGTTATTAAATCAAACTTTTGAAAAATTTGCACACAAATATCTATTATTGTTATTATAAATTGATAATAATTATTGTTTTAATTTTACTATTATAATAATAACATTATTAAAATAACAACACTTTATTTACAAAATAAAAAATAATACGAAAATTCAAGCAAACAATAGTATAATATACAAACTAAGAAAAATAATATAATTTCGATAATAATTGTGTCTATTTTTTTGACGATTAATAAAATAAAAATCGCGTGAATTAAAACATTACGGATTATTCAAAATTACGGTACAGCTTAGCAAATGTTACCCATTTATTGTTAAAGTTTTTAAAACGCTTTTAAAATTACAATTTAACCTAAGTTTTAGATACCAGCCCTCATCTCCCATTACTTCCCTCCCCGCACACCACTACCTAATCCTCTACATCTACTCCAACCTAACCTAACCTAATATAAAATAATAAAAATAGTATTTGTAATTAAAATTAATGGTTATAACAGCGCGCGTAAAATTTCAGCAACAAATTGGTTATATATACCGAACTTTTGCCAAAATTACATTCACTTAAATAATAATTTTTTGTTTTTGACAGTTATTAATACAATTATTGTGTACTTTCAGTGTATAAGTAAATTATAAGATATTTTATAACGTAATATAACTTGAATTGTAAGTCTTCTTATTTGAATAGATCCTTAAAAATAACAGTTAATCCCAAATAAATGTCTGGTAAGCGGACAACAGTGGTTGACCTACTGATGATAGTGTTGGGCATTACAATCATCGGTACGACGACAACAACGACAGTACATAAGACTGATGAGATGACAGCAGCCGAACCTGTCTATGAAAACCCTTTATCACAGCCACGGCTACGGACAATAACGGCTGGAAATCAAACCGAAAACCAACTGGAAGATGACGGACAAGAATACAATGACTCGGCACCGATAAGTCAGCGACAGTGGGAACTGAAGCCATCGCGAGCCCTGTGTGAAGACACATACATACACGCAGCCCATCGATTGCCAAACAATACCGTACGGATCTATAGGGGCTGGTATTTCTGGGATATCTATGGTTTGCCAAACAAACAGGTATCACCTAAAGGTCCCTATCGTGTCTGGTGGCCAGAGTTGGCACCCGTGACCGCACAGACAGCCATCGTTACCATATTGGCCGGTCCGCACAAAGGTGTTACCTATTTGTTTCGCAACAAACGCTACTGGACATACTGGCCAGACGGTACACTTAAGTCGACGCGAACCGAGGGTGACGAATGGCAGTGGTCACCAGATGTTGGCTACAGTGCGGCCTACACTGACGCCGACACTGCTGGCAACAGTTGGTCCCGTATGATCACATTCTCCGGTATTCGTGTCTACTATTTTGACACTTCGCAACAGATTATCCGACCCGTTGGCGATCCCGCCGGTTATGTAAACGGCTTTAACGAATCATTTCCGCCCGACCTGACCTCGGCGTTTGCCTATCCAAATGTCGAGTCGCCCGCAAACTATTTGCTCTATTTGTTTCGTACGCGAACCCATTGTCGCCGACACTATTTGTCCGACGAAAACTGTACCGATTGGCTACCTAATCGACATCTGTTTTCCTGTCCAGAAGATCGATACCTAATCCAATACCTAAGCCAACTAACAGTCCGAAAACAGTGGTCAGTCCGTCGAAAACTGCCCGTTCAACTGATCCGTCAAAATCTTCATCAAAAACACAGAAAACTAAAGCCAAATGATTTTTGTTTTTTTCTCTCTTTTTTTTGTTCAATAAGTTTTTGTAATAATTTTTATTTTATTTTAGTCAAGAAGTTATTTATTTATTTTTATTTCTGTTTTATTAAATTATTTAAACATTTTTGTATTTTTGTTTTAATTAAATAATATTTTTTATCATCTCAACAAATATTAATAAAGTTTAATATAAATAGCATAAACTATTGATAATTTTTTTGTGTTGTTTATTAATAATATAAGACTCAATATTATTCATGTTTTTTTTACAATATTATAAAATATATTGTATTTTAAAACAAAACCTAAATATATCATAGGCTTTGGTTTTTTTGATGAAATATATTCAGAATTATATAATTTAAAAAAACTTATTAATTAATTAATTAATTATTCAACACAATAACTGACCCACAAATACACATACAAATGATTATCATTTATTTCATTGGTATTACAGTTGGTATTTATGATATCATACTTTGGATATTATATATAAATTATAATAATTTAACTATTTTTTTGTTAAAAAAAATCCGATGATTTAAAACAGTAATGTTGTTGATATCGACCATCGCATCGATGGCCGACAATGAATCCAAAGATTTTTGCAATGAATACCGAAATAATGGCAACAAAATTGATTTTCTAATGAATTTATATAAAACCACAGATGGATATCCTGTAGATATGATTGTATTATTCATTGGTAACATCTACTGGAAGTTGTCGATCATAGACGACAACGATAACAACACAACACTGACCATTGATACCATAAGTGCCGGTACTTCAAACTGGTTGTCCGGAGACAAGTACTCCATGGCCTGGTCTGTCCCATATGATTCTAGTATTGATACTAATCTAACTGATCATCTGAATTATGGACAACACCACATGTGGTGTCGTATCGGTGCTCTACAGGTTGTAGTAGTATTAGTAGTAATCTCAACCAAATAATTTACAATTAATTAAAACAATAATTTATTATTAAATATTTTTAAATTATTATATATACAATATATAGAAAAATATGGAAACTATTGATTGGGCAATAACTTTGTGTACGGATACGGATACAATCAAATGGGACAAATCGACAACAATTCAATTTAGATATAATAAGTTTATACCTGTTTTTGTATGGATTGACTACTTTTTAAATACCAGTCGATACTATCTGAGCTTTGCCAACAGTGACCTAGTTGTTAAACAATACGTTTTTAGTGACCAATTAACTAAACAATCTTATAGTCGATCAGCTAATATTACCGATGATTATGATTGGATGATGGATACCGATGATGATGATGATGATGATGACGGACACAAAATTATAGGTTTTAGCAAATACTATACCAACAATAATTCTATTGATCCTAAATGTCAGTCAAATAATAATAATACTGATTTGGGATCAATTGTTTTCATGAATGATGTCAACAAAACTATTATAAAATATAATATATACTGTCCTTATTATAGTAATGGTAATTATCGTCGTTATCGTATTGTAAGCGCAATTTTTTTCAACAAAAATAATTATTACATTTTATATATTTTTTTTTATTATTTAGTGTCTACCGGGAGATGCTATCAAAACATTGGTTGACTGTTCCCCGCAAACCAACCAATTGTTTACAACTATACAGATATCTATTGTGATTGTTGTCGTTATAATTGTTGCATTGTTTATATCTTACAAAATCTATTGTCGAATAACTGATTAACTATTATATCAATTGATTGGAAATTATTTTATACAAAACTTATATATAAAACTTGAAAAAATTATTTACTATTTTTTAAAAAAAAAATTATATCACTTATAGTAGATATAGTGGAATATTTATATTTTTATATATAGTGGAATATATATTAATTAATTTTATATTTGTTTATTTTTTTAAAAAAACAATGTAAACTACATTATTGTTAAATTCAATGATAAAAGTTTATTTTGATATTTTAATGGATGATTTTTAATCACTCAAACATATTATACAAACCATATCAAACTGATCCAATCAATTGTATAAATAATTCAATATTTACTAAATTAGAAACATTAATAAATATATAATGTCTAAAAAATTATAGTTTTTTATGTTGTAACTATACATAAGTATTTATAAATTATAATAAATATTTTATGTAAATAACTTATTACTAAATATTACTAATTAGTATTAATTTCTTATTTCATTAACATTTTAATATAATATTAGTAATTGATTATAAAAATATATTTGTCAATTATATGACTCACCATTTATTTTGTATATTAAATATTTTGTATAATTTTTTTTAAACGATTACTATTTACTGTATAATAATTTTTTCAACTTAACCAACAATATGCGAAACGTATTGCTATATTAGTATTTTATTTTTTTTTATTTTTTGGTGATAACAGATACAGTATATTTATGAATATTATTATTTATTAAGTTCAATCAATAATTTTTTTGTTATCAATATATACAGTACAATAACTCATTAAATTTTAGTGAAAATTTTAATCAAAAAATATATATTACAACTAAATCAATGAGAATTGATTTAGTATTATACAATCCATAGATGAAAATAATATTTATTAATTTGATTGGTATCGTATTATATCATTTAATAGTATATTGTATATGTATTAATCAATTTTTTTTGTTAATAATATCTTTAAAAATCTTTGATTGTTTGTTTGATAGCACTGTTGGTGTTGTCATCACTGGTGGTCAGTAATGAGGAGACGACTAAGGATTTCTGTACAGAATTTATGACAAATGGCAATCAAATTGATTTTGCGTTACATTTGAATGAAAACGACGACAACAACAACTTAACGACAGATTCTGGTAAATATTTTTTCATTGGTAATACCTACTGGCGGTTGACCTCTAGTGAGGGTGAAGACAATTCAACGAGTGTTACGATTGATGTCAACAGTACCGGTTCGTCCAACTGGTTGTCCGGTAATAACTACTCTATGGTTTGGGCTCTACAAGAAAACAATGAAACGTTTATCTATGCTCTACAGGTTAGGCCATCAAACAAACATAATTTATATAATCAATTGATTTCAATATACTGTATATACAATAATTTTTTTTAATCCCTTAGAAAAATATGGTATCTATTGATCGGATGGCTTTTAATGGTAGTCTCAATAATACCAGTGGTAGTAGTAGTAGTAGTCTTAACACATCTATAATAATACCATCTACTGATAATTTCAAGCCATTCATGGCTTGGACTCCTATGCCTATAACTTATCCGATCGTAATATTTTTTGACAATAACAACGGTTTAACCAAAATATATAACCTTTCATCGGATCCAAACATTACGATATCAACCATCAATAAAACCGATAATCTAAAAATGATTGAACAGTTGAATAAAGTAATCAAATTGATGGCAATTATTGGACAGTTTACTAGTCTTAATAATTCTGGATCTATTTTGTTCACAAAGTTTGGCAATACTATTAAATACTGTTATCTGGGAAATTCATACAATGATATTACAACAGTACGTGTTATATACAAGTATTAATTAATTGATATAATTTGACTGTAGTTTTTTATTTTATTTTTGTTGAGAAAAAAATTTAGGGATTGATTTGCTATTTTAATTTTATTATTAATATATATATATTTTTTTAAATATGATTTCCAGTGCAATCCCGAGTATTTGAAAACATTGATTGACTGTATGCCACCTAATCTGATGACGGATATTATACTCAATGTAATTGCTATTGCATTACCATTAGTAACATTAACATTGTTTTGGTATTTATTTTTTAATACCCATAGACAACAATAGAGGTATTTTTTTAAAATTATATTATTATTATTAGATACAAAAAATTTAAACAATTATATATTACTACTATTACTTAATTTAGTAACAGAATCGGCAAACAGTTCCCCAAATAGACAGATGCGTTGATGAGACCATCAAAAAAAAAAACGGATCGTCTAAATGGTTTTGTTTCCGAAATCCTAGTCAACAATAGCCGCCGACAAAACATTTAATATGAAATTATTATTATTTATTTTTTATGGTTTAATTTTCATTGAATACTACACAATATCTAAGTTTATAATTGATTTTTTTTGAAATTTTTTTTGTTGATGTATATTTATTATATAAAATGTAAAAATGTAAAAATATAAAAATATAAAATTTATATATATTTGTGTTTATATAATGTATTAATGTTACCTTAATTTTATTAATACTATCATAAACTTAAATTTAGATATCAACTTATGTTTGAATACGATTAGCAACTAATATGGTATATATAATATGGTATTATAAATAATTGTATACATAATTCAATGTTAATAATAAAATTTGATAAATAAAATAAAATTATTATTTTTAAACAACATTTGTTGTTGTTGTATTGCTGTATTATTTGGTACAAATGATTACATTTTTATAAAACTATTATCAATTTACATGTTAGCAAATAATTAATAGATTATAAGTGCCAAAAAAAATTTTGTTGTAAACTTTTTTGTTTATTTGTTATTTATGTAAATGATATGTAAAACAAAGTATTAGTTTTGATAAATTATTATTATTATTCAATTATTAAATTTATTAATATTAAAAATATTATTATTATTATTCAATTTTATATACTGTATACTGTATAATATGATACAATATATAAACATTATTTTAAGCAATACCAAAACAAATGAAAGTTATTATTATTTTTTTAATATGATTGGTAATTAAAAATATCAAATGTATTAAATCATTTAAATCAAAAATATCTTTATTTATATTATTTTTTGTTGGATGACTGTTGGATAAAAAATATTTAATGTGATTATTATTATATTGAATTACTGTAAAAGTTTATACAAGTGTTATATCCATTATATACAAGTATATGACTCATAAATTATATAACTTATGATAAAATTATAGCTAATTATTGTATATATTGAACTAATGGTTAATATTATTATTTTTAAAGTTTTTTCTTGTTGTTAAATAAACTTTAGTTTATTTTTTGTGTGTAAAATCCAAATACATTATAAGTATCATAAAATAATTAGTAATTAAATTATTTATTTATTTTTGTTTTAAATAAATACTAAATTTTTGTGCTATTATTCAAACATTTAAAAAATAATTATTTTTCTCAGTTATCACTGATTGATTGATTGCCGACATACACACAAAATGAAAGCCATTTATTTGATTGGTATTATATATATATATATGAAATCAATTATCAAAATATCTTATATTATTATTATTATTTCACAGCACTGTTGGTGTTGTTGTCGTCATCGGTGGTCATCATCGAGTCGTCGAAAGAGTTTTGCGACGAATTCCGTAGGAATGGCTATAAAATTGATTTCGCAATGAGTTTGTATAGACTGTACGGACATCGCGAAGATACGATCCTATTCTTCATGGGTAACACCTACTGGAAGTTGTCGTTTATCGATGGTATAGACAAAACTGTTACTATTGATTCGGTGAGTGCCGGTACGTCCGATTGGCTGACCGGTACCAACTATTCGATGGCCTGGTCTTTCCGATTCGATGCCAACGAAGCTAAGCCGCTATTAGCCGATCAGGACTATCCTCCCTGTCGTGTCGGTGCTCTACAGGTTTTATTATGAGTTCAAACACATAATACTAATACTACTAATAATAATAATAATAATTGTTTTTTGTTTGTTTGTTTGTGCGGGTAATACCATTAGAAAGATTTCTATACCATTGATTGGGTGGAAACTTCATGCCGTAACTTGAATTTTGCCCGTTGGGTCAAATCAACGACACTTACCAGTAGTCGGGAATTTACTCCGTCCATAATGTGGATCCATTTAAACGAAACTCGAGTTATGACAATATTTGGCTACCGAAACGGTGTCCAACAGTTTTTGGTTAATATTACCCAACCATACCTAAGGAAGATAATACGTACTTCTTATTACCTCGAGTTTCAAGTTAATCCAAACATTATGGCCGTTAGCCAACGATTTACAAACTATTGTAAACAACCATTTTGTCGGTCATCGTCATCATCATCAGCTACAGCTGGTGATAGTTTGGTATCCATTGTCTTTATGAATGACAGCAAAACTATTCAATATTGTTTTGAGGAAAAGCCTTCAGAGGGTCTTCACCCGAATGTATGTCTTATAATATATATATATATATATATTTGATGAAATTTTATTTAATAATTATCATTTTTGTTTTTAATGATATGTTTTTCTATAGTGTGATCGATTAGATATTAAGTTATTGATTGATTGTTCGCCGCATATCAACCAATTGGTGGTTATAACGATAGTTACTTTAGGTATGATTGTGATCATAATATACATAATATTTTTGCCCATCTATGATGTCTATCGTAAGATATTTGAAACTTATAGCAAACAGTTGTAAACAATTTATAAAATTATAAGTTTATATTTGTTTGTTTACTATAATTTATTACAAACAATATAGTCATTACTTACTGTATATTATATAATATGTTATAATTTTTTTGTTGTCAATCAATCAATTTTTTTTGTGTGAACTATTAAACAAAACCAAACTATATATGTATATAATATATACTATATATATATATATTTAATATATATATATATTTATTTAATATATATATAATTATCAATTAATATATTTTAAAAATATTTCATTAAAGTTAACTGTATTTAATAATTATTTATGATCATAATTATCATTTTCATTGAACAACATTACTAAACTATTATTTAACAATTTTTGTCATTAATATTATATAAGTTTTGTTTTTTTTGTTTGTTTGCTAACTATATATATATAATGTTTTTTTTTGTTCAACTATTAAACAAAATCTAAATTACATATAAATTCTCAATTAATATTTAAAATATTTCATTATAATTATCATTTCATTAAACAGTATTGTGTCTTATATTTAACAATTATTTTGTCATTAAAATTAATTTTTATTGTAAATTAAATATCTATTTTGTTTATTATATATTTAAAAATAAATTGTATTAAATTACTAATAAAAATCTGTACACACAATATGCTAAATGCATCAAAAATAAGTTGAATAAAGTTTTTCAATAATTAATTAGTCTTACCGTTAAGTCTACAGTTAAGTATATGACTATTAGTGCAATTGTTTTGACCCCTAAAATGGGTTAACTTTATGCTTATGATTATCAGGTTATGTCATAGATTATATCATAACTTTATTATAAGATTTATAGATTATAATAGTAATAAAACTAAAAATTTAATTATTATACAAATAATCGTTAATCAATTAAAATATGTTTACTATATATAATAATATATAGTAAATTAATTTTGATAAACACATCAATATACAGGTAATATAATAATTGCACTAAAAAATTATTTTTAAATAACAGTTTTTGAATATTATTTAATTATATAAATTATATATATATTTATAATTATATATTTAACTATATATAATTTTACTTTATGATAAACGCGTTATAATCAATTAAAATAAATATAATTACAGTAACAACAAAAAAACACTAAAATATAGATAATAGTTATTAACAATTAAAGTATTTATTAATTAATTAAACAAATTTATGTTTTTTTATATAAAATACTGACTAATTATATTAAATAAATGATTTTTGTTTTGTTTTTTTCTTCAAAATATTTGTATAATTAAAATGTTATTTTAGTTTATCATTAGTTTGTTGTCTATGTTCTTGTTGTTGCTGATGATGACTGTCCTCTAAAATATTGTCTAAAGTGATATCCAATGGCCGATCGTAACCCAACATCACTTTATAAGCGTCCAAATCGGTAACAAACTCGGGATCGACAAAAAACGGCCGCTTTGTTGGCCGTCCCTTAGCGGCGCCAGTGTTGACCGTATATGAGGTGAACATACCGAGCGCTTCGGGTATCGACACATCCGCCGACGAGTACTGTTGGCTAATCGGCCGACAAAACAGATTCAATGTCCACGCCGTGAATCGTTGCGTATCGTAGTTGTAGTACAATCGGGTGACATAGCGTCGGGTAAACCAGTTGAGTACCAGCGGCGACAACAGTATGCCTGCGCTGGTCATACCGGCAAAACCGACGGCAAAAGCTGACGAATTGGTGGCCAAAATCTGTTGTATGATAAACGGCTGGACACCGCCGGCCAACACTGTCGTCGATATTGAAAACAATTTGATTGTTTTGATTAGTTTGACCATATTGTCGGGTCCGCTATAGATTAGACAATCGCCACGACGATGATTATGGCCGTCATCAGCTGCGGCCGTGTTGTTCTGTGCCGACGTCGATGTCCAGCGTTTTGTGGTCACAAATTTAACCGCAGTTTCCGTAAACGAGTTCAATGAACGATGAAGTACTGATCGGCGGCTGCAGTGGTGACCACCGCCGCCTAAGCTCTTGATGTGATAATAATAACTACGGCTTATAAGTGGTAACAGTTTGCCGCCGATGTGTTGATTTGTGGCCATTATATATAATCGGTGGTCAAGTATTTAGGCTTTCAATCACTAAATAATAATAAAAATATGTTTTATTTTATTTTATTTTTAAAAACACACTATAAATGCAATGCATTTTTTGGTGTTATTATAATCATATCAATAAAACATAGATCAAACATAATATATATACAGTATATATATATATAGATATAACTAATACAATGAAATGCTATTATATAGACCACGCCTCTCAATAGTATTAAAACATAGTAATATTGCGCTTATGTTTATATGTTTATAGTATTTACTGTATAACATAAATTATACATAAATTATGTTAACTATTAGTTTGTTGTTCAAAATGTTTGTCTAAAAAAATATTACTTACAATAAATTACATATAAAATAGACTATTAATAGCCATATTATAACTTATAACTTATGTATTATATAAGATTATTTTTAAAAAAAAACTTAATTAAAAAATTAACCATGGTAAGGTAATAATTAATTATTATTTTTAGTTTTTATATAGAAATTATATACATTTAAGTTGAAAATAAATAGCAAACATGATTTCAATATACAATATATTTAGTATAGAAATACTGTATAAACTTTTTTTGCGCCAAAAATACTATGAATACGTGTTTGTCTGCAAAATGGGTTTTGCTGTTTTAAGGAGGAGGCGTTCATCGGAGGCTAAAATAATTGTTTTATCGTAAACTTTAGATATGAAATATGGGTATACCATCAAAATGACATCACTGGGTGTCTATAGGGAGGCGTAATACGAGTTTGAAAATGTTAACTCAAAAATGTCAAACAAATGTACTAATAATCGTATAGACTTAACACCAATTGATTTTTCAAAACCTAACCTAACTTTTTGGTGCATTAAATATATTTAAAAAAAAATTGATTCAATAAAATAATACTTTACTCAACTTTTACTTATTAATATTAATACAATTTATTTTAACATAAGATAACAAAAATTAAATATTTAGTTTACAAAAAATATAATCAATTAATTATAATAGTAATAATAATAATGAAAACTTAGTTTTAAAATCTAACTTATTTTATGTGTAATATACTTATTTTGTTATTATATACAATAGTTTTTATACATAATACAATTGAAATGATGATTATATATATATTAAATATTGCTTAAATTGTTAAAAAATAATTATCCGTCTGTAATATAAAATCAGACCATTTATAGTGATGACTACCGACAATACAATGGCAAACACAATAGATATCACTATAATAGTAATAATAATTATCGATTGGCTGTTGGTTTGCTGGGAACAGTCAATCAATGTCTTAAGAGGTGCCGATTTCCACTAAACAATAATTTTTTTTTTTAAAGGAAAACAAATAAAATTGTTAATTAAATTCAAATATAAAATAATAAATATAAAATCAAATATGATATGGTTATACTATATATCATACATAAGCGTATTCAATGGCCCGGCCATTAGTATGAGCGTAACTGTATTGAATAGTTGTTTCATAGTCGCCATACATTAAGACAATTGATCCCATACTATTCAAACAGTTGTTTTTGTTAATTGTTGATTGGTTGTGGTGGGGATCAGTAGTATCACTACAGTTATAGGTATATTGTTGGCTAATAGCTATTATATTTTGACGACCTGTCCATTTCCATCCATAAAAATCATTACTCGTATGATATGATAGCGCACCTGTACTTTGATTAACTAAATAGTGTAAATGTTTGGTACTGTCAGCGAAAGCAATCATTTTTGTTGCAAATCTATCATAATTATAGACAATCCACACAACAAATGGCTTAAAATAGCTAAAAGTTATTTCCGATGATTTAATACCAAATGTAATATTCATGTCATTACACGATGTTTTAATCCAATCAATAGTATGCATGTCTTTCTGAATAAATAAAAAATTATATAATGTTTTAATTACTATAATAATAATAATAACATATCTATTGGGTTAATGCAATGTTGTATATGGATTACCTGTAGAGCACTTATACGACACAATGGGTAGTATTTAGTAGCAATTTTTTGCTTATCATAATCATCATAATCATTGATATCAATGTTAAAAGACCAGGCCATGGAGTATTTGTTAGCGAACAACCAGTTAGTTGCACCGGCACTAACAGTATCAATAGTAACTGTCTTATCACTCAATCCGTCTATGATTGATAATTTCCAGTAGGTATTACCGATAAACAATAGTATCGTATCATTACAATGTCCATAACGTTTATACAAACTCATTGAAAAATCAATTTTATAGTAATTTTTCCGATATTCCTCACAGAAATCTTTGGACAGTTGGGTGACCACTGATGTGATGGTTAACATCAACACCAACAGTACTGTTATAAAAATATAATTTTTAAAAAAGATTCAAAAATGATTAATAGATATATATATATATATTTGATATATAAATACCAATCATATAAATGACTTTCATTTATGTCGATAAAATCAAATGTGTTAACAACAAAAAAAACTTTATAAAAGAATAATAATTATAAAAATCTTATTTATTTTATATTAATTATTATAAAAATAAATACTATACATGAAAAATAAATTACAAATTAATATTATCGAAAAATTTGTTGAAAATAACTCAAATTATTTCAACTAATAAATGATTTATTAGTATTTAGTTTATGATACTATGAGTCATTTACTGCATATTTTTATATATAATGGACAACACATTGTATGTGCAATAAGCTATTAATTGATTTATTCAATTAAAATATACTCTTATAATAAATATTGTAAAAAACAACAAATAAAAAGTTTTTATAAAATATTAATAACAAAACACACAAAAATTAATAAATTTTTTAATTTTATTTACTACTAATTGTTAATTAATTTTTTTATCGCTGTTTTAAGATGATAATAAAATTAAGGATAGAATAGATATAAAAAATATATGAGTATACCATCTAAATAATGGCATCACTGGGTGTATACAGGGGGGGGGGCGTAATACAAGTTAAGTAAAAATCATACAAATATGTCATGTACTAATAATTATATATAAATTTAACACCAATTTATTTTTTGAAAACTTTTATAAATAATAATCTATTATTTTTTACAAAACTTAATCAAAACTGTTTTTGCTATATTTAATATTTTTTATTATTTTATTACTAATTTAAATACAGTTAATTTATTTTAACATAAGAAAAACTATATAAATTATAGTATTTTTTAAACATTCATTATTAATTATTTATACAAATCAAATGCTAATATAAATTTAAATACTTATATTTAATATGTTTTCAAAAAATATATTAATGTTTATATAATAATAATTCAATTCAATTAAAACATTGGTTGATAGAGTCTGTAATATAAAATCAGTTTAACGATTGCGATGACGACTATCACAATAAATATAACTATAATAATAATCATCAATCGGTTGGATTGCGGGGAACAGTCAATCATTGTCTTAATATATTCCGCTGAACACTATTGAAAATTTTTATATATTAAAAATAATACATCAATTATACAATATATATATATATTTAAATGACATACAGAAGGAAAACTATAATCAATATCATAACAGTATTGAATAGTTTTGTTGACATTCATAAAGATAATTGATTTCAAAATATGGTCATATCTATGGCTTAGAGCTATTATGTTGTTGTTGTTGATGTATTGATCATTACTCCAATCATTTTTCCTAAAACTACTCTTAACCTCAATTGAATGTATACTTTGATTAACTAAATACTTTATATTTTTTGTATTGTTAGCAAATGTCATGTATAGACTAAATTCCTTAACCCTCCATAGCATCCATAACAGGTCCGGCTTAAAGTTATTGTCTGGAAATGTTATTATAGTTGAATTGATCCAATTGTGAACATTCATATCCACACATAAAGTGTTGGCCCAATCAATGGTATGCATGTCTTTCTAAATTTTTTTTTATAAATCAAAATTTATTAGTTTAAATCAGGCGTTATCAGGATAATGATTTTTGATTACTTTTGATTAAAATGCTTATGGTTTATTAATATATATATATATGACCTAGCTCAAATAGACTGTTACAAATTTATTTTAAATAAGCAGTATATTTAATTTAATAATATAATTGTTATTTAATTTATGTATTATAAACTTTTTGTTTTTTAACCTTGGTCGTTAATTACGTTTTTAAAATAAGGGACCGTATAATCATCTGATAATGCCTGGTTTTAATTATATTTAATATAAAACAATGTATAAAATTTCTTAATTACTAATTAATGTGTAGATTACCTGTAGAGCACCGTATAGACAGTTATCCCTATCCTTATCTCTGTGAATAATCGGTGGTAATACCGTATAGTACTTATCACTGGACAACCAATTGGATGTACCGGCACTTACCGTCTCAATAGTGATATTCTTAATTCTCAATGAATCAATTGATGCGTCAATAATCGACAATTTCCAGTAGGTGTTACCGATAAACAATAATATTATATCATCAGGATATCCACGGTCTGTATGCAAACTCATTGCAAAACCAATTTTGTAGTCATTTTTTCGATATTCTTCACAGAAATCTTTCGACTCAATGATGACAACCAATGCAATGGTCGACACCAACAGTGCTGTCAACAAAAATGCAAATTTTATAATATTATATTAAAAATGAAATTATAATTGAAATACAAATACCCATCAAATAAATATTTTCATTTTTGAGTCGACAATTAATGTTTGATAACAAAAAATAAATAAATAAATGATTGAATCTTTTTTTTATTATTTGTTTCACAAAAACTAAGTAAATATGACTGATATTAATCACTAAATAATTTTATAAATGTTTTAATAATATAATATTAGTTATCATTATATGATATTATAAGTCACATTAATGGACAATACATAATATGTGTGAACTCTTACAGCAAATAATAAACTATTATATTATTTATTTAAATAATAGTTAACATGTATTATTAAAAATCCAAATAAAAAGTTATAAAATACAATAAAAATATTGTAAATGTTTTAGTATTAAAAAAATATAACTAATTGTGTTTATTTTACAATTCAATGAATTAAAAATTGCAATTATTATTAGTTAGAAATTAAATTAAAAATTATAATTATGAAATAAAAAAAATTATAATTAATTAAATATAACTAACCAAATATAACTGTTATTAACCACTAAATAATTTAATAAATGTATTACTAATATAATATTAGCTATCATTATATGATATTATGAGTCATATATAAAATGGACAATACATTGTATTTGTGAACTCTTACAGCAAATAATAAACTATTATATGATTTATTTAAAGTTATAAAATACAATAAAATATTGTAAATGTTTTAGTAATTTTAAAAATATAACTTATTTTATTTATTTATTTTACAATTCAATGAATTAAAAATATCAATTATTAGTTAGATATTAAATTAAATATTATAATTATGAAATAAAAAAAATTATAATTAATTAAATTTTTTTTATATCTTATTTTTTTATTTAATTAATAAAAAATTATTAAACTTACAATTTATAATGTATTTAAAGAAATGTAAATTATTATATATATATATTAAAGTTAAATATCGATTTAAATACTTTGCTAGAAATTGATAATTAGTCAATAGTTTATCTAATATAAAATCAATGCACCGATAAAGTTGACGACCGCCAACACCCGGACAATCACTGCAATCATAATACTAATCATCGATTGTTTGATTTGCGGGGAACAGTCAATCATTGTCTTAAAATCTTCCGGTTTACACTATATAAAAAAAAATTATATTAAAAATAATACATCAAACGGTCAATTATACAATATATATGTGACATACAAAAGGAGAACTGCTATCAAACATAACATAACAGTATTGAATAGTTTTGTTGTCACTCATAAAGATAATTGATTGCAAAATATTGTCAATAAATTGTTGGCTAATCGCTATTATACTGTTGTTGTGATCATATTTCCAATTATTTTCCCTAAAACTATTTAAAACAACTTCAACTGAATATATATAACGATAAGAAATATAAATTATATGATTTTCATTGTTAGCAAATATCAAATATCCTTTAAAATCAATGAGAAACCAAACAAAGTCGGGCTTAAAATTATTGTCTGAAAATGTTATATTTGTCGTCGAATTGATCCATTCGGTGATAACATTCATATCATTACACAAAGTGTTGGCCCAATCAATGGTATGCATGTCTTTCTATAAAAATTTTTTTTAGACATGAATTTAATTAATAAAATTAATATAAAACAGGTTATTATATTATAATTATTATTAATATGTAGATTACCTGTAGAGCACCGTAAAGACAGTTATCTTTATTATAGTATTGTTTGTGGATATGTGGCCAGGCCATAGCGTACTTGTCACTGGACAACCAGTTGGACGTACCGGCACTTAAAGTGTCAATAGTGACTACAGTGTCTCTCTTATTAGACAATTTCCAGTAGGTGTTACCGATGAACAATAATATCATATCTTCATCATATCCATACTCTTTATACAAACTCATTGCAAAACCAATTTTGTAATCATTTTTCCGATATTCCTCACAAAAATCTTTCGATTCATTGCTAACCACCGATGCAATGGTTAACATCAATACTGCTGTCGAAAAATGTTAAATTATTATCAGATATTCAAAAGTAATTATTAATACATAATATATAATTGATTTACAATTACCAATCATATAAATGACTTTCATTTGTGTCGGCAATTAATGTTTGATAATAAAAAATAAAGATTTTATTAATTTTATTTTTTATAGTCTATTGCAAAATATAAAAATATTATTTAATTAATTTTGATCAATAATTAAATCTCTAATTATTAAAAATTATTGTCGAAATATTTGTATCAAAATATACAGCTTATTATATATTCCACAAACAACTAACTAAATATGACTGATATTAATCAATAAATAATTTTATAAATGTATTACTAATTAAATAAGTGTAATATAAAAATTGTAATATTACTAAATGTATAATATTAGCTATCATTATATGTTATTATGAGTCATATATATAATGAACAATACATTGTATGTGTGAACTCTTACAGTAATTAATAAACTATTGTATGATTTATTTAAATAATAATACTTAACACGTTTTAAAAATACAAATAAAAAGTTATAAAATACAATAAAAATATTCTAAATGTTTTAGTATTTTAAAAAAATATAACTTATTTTATATTTTTATATTACACATCAATGAAATAATAATTACAATTATTATTAGTTAGATAATTATAATTATGAAATAAAAAAAATAATAATTTATTAAATTTTTTTATTTTATTAATAAAAAATTATTAAATTTACAATTGTATTTAAAGAAATTATTTTTTCGTATATTAATGTAAAATATCGATTTATATACTTTGTTAGAAATTAATAATTAGTCAATAGTTTATCTAATATAAAATCAATGCAACGATAAAGTTGACGACCGCCAACACCCGGACAATCACTGTAATAATAATACTAATCATCGATTGATTGGTTTGCGGGGAACAGTCAATTATTGTCTTAAAATTTTCCGGTTCACACTATAAAAAAAATTTATATTAAAAATAATACATCAAACGGTCAATTATACAATATATATATGACTTACATCTGGAGAACTGCTATTAAACATAACATAACAGTATTGAATAGTTTTGTTGTCACTCATAATGATAATTGATTGCAAAATATTGTCAATATATTGTTGGCTAATCGCTATTATACTGTTGTTGTGATCATATTTCCAATTATTTTCCCTAAAACTACTTAAAACAACTTCAATTGAATGTATAAAACGATTGACAAAATAAATTATATGATTTATATTGTTAGCAAATATCAAGTATCCTTTATTAGCAATAGTAAACCATACGTAGTCGGGCTTAAAATTATTGTCTGAAAATGTTATATTTGTCGTCGAATTAAACCAATGGATGATACCATTCATATCATTACAAAAAGTAATATACCAATCAATGGTATGCATGTCTTTCTATAAAAATTTTTTGTATTAATATGAAAATTTATGAATTTAATTAATAAAATTAATATAAAGCAATTTATAAAACAGGTTATTATATTATCATTATTATTAATATGTAGATTACCTGTAGAGCACCGCAAAGACAGTTATCATTATAGTAATGTTTGTGGATATGTGGCCAGGCCATAGCGTACTTGTTACTGGTCAACCAGTTGGATGTACCGGCACTTAAAGTGTCAATAGTGACTAAAGTGTCTCTCTTATTAGACACCTTCCAGTAGGTGTTACCGATGAACATTAATATCATATCTTCATCATATCCATACTCTTTATACAAACTCATTGCAAAACCGATTTTGTAATCATTTTTCCGATATTCATCACAAAAATCTTTTGATTCATTGATAACCACCGATGCAATAGTTAACATCAATACTGCTGTCGAAAAATGTTAAATTAATATATAATATTCAAAAGTAATTATAATTAATATATATATATATACAGTATATATAATTGATCTACAATTACCAATAATATAAATTACTTTCATTTGTGTCGGCAATTAATTATTTTTTATAGACTATTGCAAAATATAAAAATATTATTCAATTTATTTTCATCAATAATTAAATTTCTTATTCTAAAAGAATTATTGTTGAAATATACCGTATGTTTCAAAATATACAGTATATTATGTATTTCACAAAAAAACTAACTAAATATAACTGTTATTAACCACTAAATAATTTTATAAATCTATTAGTAATATAATGTTAGCTATCATCATATGATATTATTAGTCATATATAATGTATATACATGTATAATGGACAATGTGTGAACTCGTACAGTAATTAATAAACTATTGTATGATTTATTTAAATAATAATACTTAACATGTTTTGTTAAAAATCCAAATATAAAGTTATAAAATACAATAAACACATTCTAAATGTTTTAGTATTCAAAAAATATAACTTATTTTATATGTTTATATTACACTTCAATGAATTAATAATTACAATTGTTATTAGTTTGATAATAACTATTATAATTATGAAATAAAAAAATTATAATTTATTAAATTTTTTATATCTAATTTTTTTATTTAATTAATAAAAAATTATTAAATTTACAATTTATAATGTATTTAAAGAAATTATTTTTTTCATATATTAATGTAAAATATCGATTTATATACTTTGTTAGAAATTAATAATTAGTCAATAGTTTATCTAATATAAAATCAATGCAACGATAAAGTTGACGACCGCCAACACCCGGACAATCACTATAATAATAATACTAATCATCGATTGATTGGTTTGCGGTGAACAGTCAATCATTGTCTTAATATCTTCCGGTTGACACTATAAAAAAAATTTAATATTAAATAAAATACATCAAATGGTCAATTATACAATATATATATATATATATGACATACAACAGGAAAATTGTAATCAACAACATTGTTAACATAACAGTATTGAATAGTTTTGTTGGCAATCATAAAGATAAATGTTCCCAAAGTATTGTCAATAAATTGTTGGATAATAGCTATTATGTTGTTGTTGTTGTAATCATCTCTCCAATTATTTTCAATAAAATTACTCATAACCTCAAGTGAATGTATACTTTCATTAACAAAATAAATTATATGTTTTGTATTGTTAACAAACATCATTAATCGTCTAAAATCATTAACCATCCATAACTGATCGGGATTAAAGTTATTGTCTGGAAATGTTATTTTAGTCGAATTGATCCAATCGGTGATAACATTCATATCATTACACAAAGTGTTGATCCAATCAATTGTATGCATGTCTTTCTATATATATTGATATACATCAAAATTTATGTGTTTAATAAATTAATTAATAAAAACAATATATAATCAAATTGGTTATTATTATTATTATTATTATTATGTAGATTACCTGTAGAGCACCGTAAAGACAGTTAACCTTATCCTTGCTAATAATCTGCGGCCAGGCCGTAGAGTACTTGTCACCGGACAACCAGTTGGACGTACCGGTACTTACGGTCCCAATAGTGACTGTCTTATCGATTATATCAATAGACAAGCTCCAGTAGGTGTTACCAATAAACAATAATCTCATATTTTCATCAAATCCATAGTCTCTATGCAAACTCATTGCAAAACCAATTTTGTAGTCATATTTCATATATTCCTCACAAAAATCTTTTGATTCATTGATAACCACCGATGCAATGGTTAACATCAATACTGCTGTCGAAAAATGTTAAATTAATATATGATATTCAAAAGTAATTATAATTAATATATATATATATATAATTGATCTACAATTACCAATAATATAAATAACTTTCATTTGTGTCGGCAATTAATGTTTGTTAATAAAAATAAAGATATTATTTTTTATAGACTATTGCAAAATATAAAAATATTATTAAATTTATTTTCATCAATAATTAAATTACTTATTCTAAAAAAAATTATTATTGAAATATATATTTCACAAAAAAACTAACTAAATATAACTGTTATTAATCACTAAATAATTTTATAAATCTATTACTAATATAATGTTAGCTATCATTATATTATATTATGAGTCATATAATGGACAACATATAGTATGTGTGAACTCTTACAGCAAATAATAAACTATTATATGATTTATTTTAATAATAATACTTAACATGTATTATTAAAAATATAAATAAAAAGTTATAAAATACAATAAAAATATTGTAAATGTTTTAGTAACTTATTTTAAAAATATAACTAATTGTGTTTATTTTACAATTCAATGAATTAAAAATTGCAATTATTATTAGTTAGAAATTAAATTAAATATTATAATTATGAAATAAAAAATTATGATTTATTAAATTTTTTATATCTTAATTTTTTTTATTTAATTAATGAAAAAATATTAAATTATAATTTACAATGTATTTAAAGAAATGTCAATTATTTTTTCATATATTAAAGTTAAATATGGATTTAAATACTTTGTTAGAAATTAATAATTAATCGATAGTTTATCTAATATAAAATCAATGCACCGATAAAGTTGACGACTGCCAACACCCGGACAATCACTGCAATTATAATACTAATCATCGATTGTTTGATTTGCGGGGAACAGTCAACCATTGTCTTAAAATTTTCCGGTTCACACTATATAAAAAAATTTATATTAAAAATAATACATCAAACGGTCAATTATACAATATATATGTGACATACAAAAGGAGAACTGCTATCAAACATAACATAACAGTATTGAATGGTTTTGTTGTCACTCATAAAGATAATTGATTGCAAAATATTGTCAATAAATTGTTGGCTAATCGCTATTATACTGTTGTTGTGATCATATTTCCAATTATTTTCCCTAAAACTATTTACAACAACTTCAACTGTATGTATATAACGATAAGAAATATAAATTATATGATTTTCATTGTTAGCAAATATCAAATATCCTTTAAAATCAATGAGAAACCAAACAAAGTCGGGCTTAAAATAATTGTCTGGAAATGTTATATTTGTCGTCGAATTGATCCATTCGGTGATAACATTCATATCATTACACAAAGTGTTGGCCCAATCAATGGTATGCATGTCTTTCTATAAAAAAATTTTAGACATGAAAATTTATGAATTAATATAAAACAGGTTATTATATTATAATTAATATTAATATATAGATTACCTGTAGAGCACCGTAAAGACAGTTATCTTTACTATAGTATTGTTGGTAGATATGTGGCCAGGCCATAGCGTACTTGTTACTGGTCAACCAGTTGGACGTACCGGCACTTAAAGTGTCAATAGTGACTACAGTGTCTCTCTTATTAGACAATTTCCAGTAGGTGTTACCGATGAACAATAATATCATATCTTCATCATATCCATACTCTTTATACAAACTCATTGCAAAACAGATTTTGTAATCATTTTTCCGATATTCATCACAAAAATCTTTCGATTCATTGCTAACCATCGATGCGATGGTTAATATCAATATTGCTGTCGAAAAATTTTAAATTAATATATGATATTCAAAAGTAATTATAATTAATATATATATATAATTGATTTACAATTACCAATCATATAAATGACTTTCATTTGTGTCGGCAATTAATGTTTGATAATAAAAAATAAAGATTTTATTAATTTTATTTTTTATAGACTATTGCAAAATATAAAAATATTATTCAATTAATTTTGATCAATAATTAAATCTCTAATTATTAAAAATTATTGTCGAAATATTTGAATCAATATTTTACAATTTAATTAATTAATAATATCAATTATTATTATTAGTTAGATGTTAAATTAAATATTATAATTATGGAATAAAAAATTACGATTTTTGATGAAAACTTTATATATTTAATTAATGAAAAATTATTAAATTATAATTTACAGTGTATTTAAAGAAATGTAAATTATTTTATATATATATATATATATATATATTAAAGTTAAATATAGATTTAAATACTTTGCTAGAAATTAATAATTAGTCAATAGTTTATGTAATATAAAATCAAATTAAGGAAAAAATATTAAATTATAATTTATAGTGTATTTAAATAAGTATAAATAATCTTATTTAATTAAAGTAAAATATTGAGTTAAATACTTAGAAATACTAGAAATTAATAATTAGTCTATAGTTTATCAATGCACCGATAAAGATGACGACCGCCAACACACGGACATCAATAATAATACTAATCATCGATTGGTTGGTTTGCGGGGTTGTTGGTTGGTTACAGTCAATCATTGTCCTAATATCTTTCGGTTGACACTATAAAAAAAATTTTTATATTAAAAATAATAAATCAATTGGTCAATTATACAGTATATATGACATACACCTGCAGGAAATTTGTCATCAAAGACAACATAACAGTATTGAATAGTTTTGTTGTCACTCATAAAGATAATTGATTGCAAACTATTGCCAATATATTGTTGGCTAATAGCTATTATGTTGTAGTGATTATCTCTCCAATTATTTTCCCTTAAACTTGTTTTACTCTTAACCTCAATTGAAAATATATTTTTTTCAACAAAATAATGTATATGTTTTGTATTGTTAGCAAATATCAAGTATCTTTCAACATTAATATTAGACCAAACGATGTCGGGCTTAAAATTGTCTGGAAATGTTATACTTGTTGTCAATTTGATCCCATTATGGTTAACATTTGTATCATTACAAAATGCCCAATCAATTGTATGCATGTTTTTCTATAAAAATTTTGTAGTCATATAAAAATTTATTGATTAATATAAAACAATTTATTACAGGTTATTATATTATATCAAAAATTATTAATATCTAGATTACCTGTAGAGCACAGTAAAGACAGATATCTTTATGGTCATAATTGTAGTTATTTGGCCACACCATAGCGTACTTGTCACTGGACAACCAGTTGGACGTACCGGCACTTAAAGTGTCAATAGTGACTACAGAGTTCATCTTATTAGACACCTTCCAGTAGGTGTTACTGATAAACAATAATATCATATCTTCATCATATCCATAGGTTTTATACAAACTCATTGCAAAACCGATTTTGTAATCATTTTTCCGATATTCCTCACAAAAATCTTTCGATTCATTGCTAACCATCGATGCGATGGTTAACATCAATACTGCTGTCGAAAAATGTTAAATTATTATCAGATATTCAAAAGTAATTATTAATACATAATATATAATTGATTTACAATTACCAATCATATAAATGACTTTCATTTCTGTCGACAATTAATGTTTGATAATAAAAATAAAGATATTATTTTTTATAGACTATTGCAAAATATAAAAATATTATTCAATTAATTTTGATCAATAATTAAATCTTTAATTATTAAAAATTATTGTCGAAATATTTGTTTCAAAATATACAGTAAAATTATGTATTCACAATATACTAACTAAATATGACTGATATTAATCACTAAATAAATTTATAAATATATTACTAATATAATATTAGCTATCGTTATATGATATTATGAGTCATATATAAAATGGACAATACATTGTATGTGTGAACTCTTACAGCAAATAATTAACTATTATATGATTTATTTAAATAATAATATTTAACATGTTTTGTTATAAATCCAAATAAAAAATTAAAAAATACAATAAAAAGATTGTAAATGTTTTAGTATTGAATTAATATTGAATAATTACAATTATTATTATGAGTTAGAAATTAAATTAAATATAAATAATTCTCAAAATAAAACAATATTAACCATTGGTTAATAACCAATAATGTATTTAATATATAGCTATCATTTTTAATGATATTATGAATCATAAAAATGGACAATTATGGTTTTTATAATAACTATTATTTATTTCATAATTAAATGTGTTGAAACATTTTTCTATATAATATGTTTATATAAATTTAATATTATTTTTAAATATATTTATAATATTGTTTATAGATATCTAATATTTAATTTCTAATTAATTCCAGGAAAAACCATTTAATATAATAATTTATTACCATTGAATGAATTAATAATTACAATTATTATTATGAGTTAGATATTAAATTAAATATTATAATTATAAAATTATAATTTATTTAATTTTTTTATATCTTATTTTTTTTAGTTAATTAAAGATAAAATATATTAAATTATAATTTACAATAATACAGTTATCCTTATTATTGCTAATATTCAGTGTCCAGGCCATAGATTACTTGTCATCGGACAACCAGTTGGACGTACCGATGCTTACTGTCCTAATAGTGACGGTCTTATGGATCATATCGATAGACAATTTCCAGTAGGCATTACCGATGAATAATAATCTTATATTTTTTATCATATCCATTGTTTTTTATGCAAACTCATTGCAAAACCAATTTTGTAGTCATTTTTAATATATTCCTCACAAAAATCCATGAACTCAATGATGATGTGTAACACCAGTAACAGTGCTGTCGAAAAATTTTAATTTTTAATTATATTAGAAAATTGATATTTAATTAATTCATAAACAATTACCAATCAGATAAATGACTTTCATTTGTGTCGACAATTAATGTTTGATAATAAAAATATTATTCAATTTAAATTATTTTTTTTAAATTAATTAATAAAGTTATTATCGAAATACAGTATTTGTTTCAAAATATACAGTAAAATTATATATTTCACAAAAACAACTAACTAAATATGACTGATATTAATCACTAAATAATTTTTTAAATGTATTACTAATATAATTATTATACTAACTAATAATATTATTATATGATATTATGAGTCATACAATTACAGCAAATAATAACCTAATGTATGATTTATTTAAATGATACATGTAATACTTAACATGTATTGTTAAAAATCCAAATAAAAAAATTATAAAATACAATAAAATATTGTTAAAGTTTTAGTATTTAAGAAAAATATAACTTATATAAAATCAGTGCACCAATAGTGATGACGACCGACAACACACAGACAATCACTATAAAAGTAATACTTAATCATCGATTGGTTGGTTTGCGGGGAACAGTCAATCAATGTCTTAATATCTTCCGGCAGACACTAAATAAAACATTAAAATTAAAATTTATATTATAAAATAATACATCAAATGGTAAATTATACAATATATATGACATACAGCAGGAAAATTGTAATCAATATCAATGATAACATAACATTATTGTATAGTTTTATTGTCACTCATAAAGATAATTGATCCCAAATTATCGTCAATATATTGTTCAGTAATAGCTATTATGTTGTCGTTGTTGTTGTTGTTGTGATCATCTCTCCAATTATTTTCCTTAAAACTACTCATATCCTCAATTCAATGTATATCTTGATTAACAAAATAAATTATATGTTTTATATTGTTAGCAAATATCATGTATTGTCTAAAATCATTAACCATCCATAACAGGCCCACCAAATGTTATTAATTCAATTATATTTTTATTACAGATTTAAATAAAAATTTATTGAACATTATATACATTTTTTAAAATTATAATTATTAATTAATTTATAATATCTATGACAAAATTATGCAAAATTTAGTTTAAACTTAATGAGTATGTAATATAAAACCAGTCCAACAAATGTGATAACTATCGCAAACATAATAGACATCAAATTATTCATCGATTGGTTGGTTTGTAAGGAACAGTCAATCAATGTCTTTATAGCTGACGATTTACACTATAAATAATAATAATTAAAAACAAAAAAAAATTATATGTAATTATATGATAATAAATATTAAAATGATTTAATTAAAAAAATATTATATATATAATATCAATAAAAATTATATATATAACATACTGGATAGAAACTAAAGTCATCATAATTGCCAGTAAAACAGTATTGAATAGTTTTTTGGACATTCATAAAGACAATTGATCCCAAATAATAACCATTTGATGATGATTTCATACAATGGTTATACTTATTATTATTATTACAATAGTTGGTATATTGTTGGCTAATAGTTATTATATTGTTTAGACCAAACATCCAATTAGGTCTACTAAAATTGTTCAGACGTTTAAGTGACAAATCAGTTGTATTAATCCAATAGCACAGGTAGTTGTTATTATCAGCAAAACATTGGACATTAGATCTGTTAATAATAATCCACATTAGGTCCGGTTTCCAGTCATTGTCCACAATATCATTGTCAATGACATGACTTGCTTTTGTTAATACTCTATTCAAACCCATATTATTGCAGAAAATTTCGTACCAATTAATGCTAAACCATTGTTTCTAATTAATTAAAAAGAGATATATTTTAATTGTGGTTTAATATCGGTATATACACTATATATTAATTTTTTTATATTAATTACCTGTAGAGTAACGATATAACAGATTGGATGATCTGAATCTTTTTGCTGCTTATTATTATTATTGGCATCAGTTATGTATGACCCGACCATAATATACTCGTCAGCAAACCACCAGTCAGATCTACCGGCGCTTCTACTGTCGATGGTAACCAACCCATCGATGATGCCATCGATAAATGATAGTTTCCAATAGGTTTTACCGATGAACAACAGTATCATATCTTGAGGATATCCGTATTGTTTATACAAACTCACTGCAAAATCAATTTTGTAGTCATTTTTCGCGTATACATCACAGAAATCTTCCGACTCAATGATGGCCAACGATTTGATGGTCAATACCATCGACACCGACAGTGCTATTAATAATAATAAGATAATTAATTAAATATTAATACATATTTATATATATTTATATAAATACCAATCAAATAAATTGATCTCATTTTGTCGATCAATTGATGAAAACTTTTATAACAAAAATAATAGTAATTTACTTTTATATAATAAAAATTATTAATTATTATTTTTCTAATTTAATAAAGTTATTATCTAAACATTTGATTTAGTAAATGTAAATTATGCTATTATTTAAACTAGTAATTGATTTAATATATACAGTGTATATCATTAAATAATAGTATGACTCATATATAATGGCAATGTAAACATTTTTTTTGTAATAATTGGATACAAAAATTACAATCACATAACATATTATCCAATAAATAAAACTAAATAAAAGTTTATAAAAAAATCATTATTAAAAAACTATACATTAGATACATCTATACATTTTTTTTAAAAAATAAGTTAAATAATATTTATGATTGATAATTTCTTCAATAGAATTAAATTATTATTTTTTTAAAAATATTATTATTTATTATTAATTAATTATATTAGTATTATATAATAAAAAGTTATTATATACAGTATTAATAAAATCTATTTATTAATATCATAATATCAATGTTTAAAATTATTGTTTTGAAATTAATTAATATTAAATTTTATTGTAAGTTATTATAAGGTATAATAATTTATACAATGATATAATAATTATTATTACTTAAATATTATATTTATCAATAAAAATTGAATTAAAACTTTATATATATATATAAATATTAATATTTATGTAATTTAAGAAATAATATTTAATTATATAATTATAAATTATAATATCTGTTAATTTATTCATTAATTGTAATATCAATGATCAAAACTATTGCTTTAAATGATTTAATATTAAATTTTATAATATTTTATATGTATTTATTGTGTTATAATAAAGTAGTTTATACTATTAATTAATATTTACAATTATTACTAGTAAATGAAAAATGAAATATATATAATATATATATTATGTAAAAATAATTTATATATATATATACAGTATTTGTGACAGGAAAATCATTATCTCAGTTTCAATCTAATAACAAATATATAGTTTACAAAAAAAATAAATTCGGTTTTTAAAATCTGTATTATTTATAAATAAATTTATAATAATTATTAAAAGCTAAGGTTGGGAGAAGCAAAAAATGTTTGTATAATATAATCTAATATAACTGTATTATTTACTTTAATACAATGTATAATCCATGAAATTATGACGGATTATAAATCAAAAATTGAAAAAATTTGCATTTTTCCAACTCTGATAAACACTAACATGTGATTTGACTACATTTATATTATAAAATTGTTTTAATCCGAAGTTAGTTTCTTAATTTACCTATTATGTTTACTTATATACACACAGTATATTTACATAATTAAAAAGAAAATATTTAGTTATAATTATTAAAAAAACTAAATTAAATTTATGTTATAATAAATATTAATACAAATGTTAGCTAAAAATTAATTATCAGTCGACTATAGATTTTGTAATATAAAATCAATGCAACGATTATTATAGTAATCGTAACCATACAGAAAAACATAATAGACATCAATATAGTCTTCAATTTAGTCAATCGGTTGGTTTGCGGGCGACAGTCAATCAATGTCTTAAATTTTTTTTGTCGATAACTACTAATAAAATACCAATGAATATCATAACAGTATTGAATAGTTTGGTTAATATTTAGCAAATAAAATATTGATACAAATCTATTCACTAATTGTTCACTAATGGCTATTATATCGTTAACTCTAATTTCATTCAATTCTTTATGAAAACTAATCATATATTTATGTGATGACAGTTTAAATAAATAATAATAATATTTATAATTATTCGCAAATATTGTGGATCTGTTTGCGATTGTCCATAATTTTAAATTGTCTGTAAATATTAATGTCGTTGAATTGATCCAAAATATATCATTAATGTCAATAATACACAACATTTGATCTTCCCAATCAAGGGTAAGCTTGTTTTTCTAAAAATAATAATCAATTTAAGGTTTAATTAATATATATTTAAAAAATAAATATATCAATTGGTTGATTATTAAGGTGTATATGGATTACCTGTAGAGCACCGTTACGACAAAATGGCAGTTCATTATCATATATTTGTAGTTCACTATTGACATTATCGGTGACGTTATACTTGAAAGACCAGAGCATATACTTAAACTTGTCAGCGGACAACAAGTTATACTGACCGGCACTTTGGGTGTCAATAATAATTGTGTCGATATTCTTAACCGACAATTTCCAGTAGGTGCTACCGATAAACAATAATATCATATCTTCAGGATATCCATACTCTTTATACAAACTCATTGATACATCTATTTTATTGTCATTTTTCTGATATTCTTCACAGAAATCTTTCGACTCAATGATGACAACCAATGCAATGGTCGACACCAACAATGCTGTCAACAAAAATCACATTTTATATAATATATATTTAAAAGTAATTTATATATATTTCATATATAAATACCAATCATATAAATGGATTTCATTTGTGTCGGCAATCAATGTGTGTTAACAAAGAAATTATATCAAAAATAAATATATTATAAAAATATTATTTATCTTATAGTTAGTTAATAATTATTTCTATGATTAACTAATATTCATAAAATAATTGTCTAAATATTTTTTTAATATGCGTTTCAAAAATAACTAAATATAACTATTATATTAACCAATAAATTATTTAATATATAGCTATCATTATATGATATTATGAGTCATATAATGGACAACACATTGTATGTAAACTTTTAGTAATTGTTAAACTATTAATTTATTTATTTTAAATAATACTAACAAACATATATAACATTTATTGTTTAAAAACTAAATAAAAAAGTTAGAAAATACTATTATATTTAAACAAACAAAAAATAAACGTTTTAATGTAATATAATTTACTGCTAAATTGAATTATTGACATTTATATTATTTTTTTAAAAAATTATTAATTAGTAGTTTCAGAAATTAAAAGTTATCTAAAGTAATATTATTTTACATTTTATAAAAATAATAATTATTGATATTATAACAAAATTTTGAATAGAAATATATTTACATTTAAGTTATAAATATACTTTAAAACATGATATAACTTATAACTTATATTATATAAGTACACTAGTAATGCATTGAAATACTAAGTTATTTATATTATCAGTTAATTTATTCACTAATATAATATCAATGATCAAAACAATTGTTTTAAATTATTTAATATTAAATTCTTATTATAATATATATGTATTTATTGTGTTATTATAAAGTAGTTTATAGTATTAATAAATACAGTATTTACAATTATTATTATTAGTTAAATATTAAAATTAAATTTTATATTTTTAAATGAAAAATGAAATATATATAAATTATTTTTACTTAATTAAACAAAAAATATTTAATTATAACTATTAAAAAAACTATATTAAAAAATGTTATTTTTATGTTATAATAAATATTTTTAGAAATGTTAGCTAAAAATTAATTATCAGTCGACTATAGATTTTGTAATATAAAATCAGTGCACCGATTGTGACGACGACCGCAAACATCACAATAGACATCACTATAATAGTAATCATCGATTGGTTGGTTTGCGGGGAACAGTCAATCAGTGTCTTAATAATTTCCGGTTTACACTAAAAATTAAAAAAATAAAAATAATACATCAAATAATTCATTTATAATGTATGTTATAAAATGACATACAGTCTGTCTATATATGCGATAACTACTAATAAAATCCCGATGATTATCATAACAGTATTGAATAGTTTGGTTAATAGTTAATAAATAAAATTTTGATAAATAAAACATATGCATAAAATGTTCACAAATGGCTATTATGTTATTATCTCTAATCTCATTAAACTCTTTATGAAAACTAATCGTATATTCATGTGTTGACACATTATTTTGATTAAATAAATAGTAATAATATTTCATATTATTAGCAAATATTGTGGATCTGTTAGTGATTGTCCATATTTTAAAATTGTCTATAAAATTAACTGTCGTTGAATTCATCCAAAATATATAATTCATTTTAATATTACACGATGTTTGCTCTTTCCAATCAATTGTTTGCTTATCTTTCTAAAAACAATAAGCAATTTTAGGTTTAATTAATTATAACTAATAACATATCAATTGGTTGATTATTAATGTGTATATGGATTACCTCTAGAGAACCCATACGACAAAATGGCAGTTCATTATCATCTATTTGTTGTTCATCGTAGACATTATCGGTGACATCAAACTTGAAAGACCAGATCATAGAGTTCTTGTCAGCGGATAATAAGTTAGACTGACCGGCACTCTGGGTGTCAATCATAACAGTGTTGTTAGCATTAACTGACACTTTCCAGTAGGTGTTACCGATAAACAATAATATCATATCTTCAGGATATCCATACTCTTTATACAAACTCATTGATACATCTATTTTATTGTCGTTTTTTCGATATTCTTCACAGAAATCCTTCGACTCAATGATGACAACAAATATAATGGTCGACACCAACAGTGCTGTCGACAAAAAATCAGATTTTATATAATATATATTTAAAATTAATTAATACATATATATTTGATATATAAATACCAATCATATAAATGGATTTCATTTGTGTCGGCAATCAATGTATGATAACAGAGAAATTATATCAAAGAATAAACTGTAAAATTATTTATCTTATAGTTAGTTAATAATTATTTCACTGATTAACTATTAAAATAATTGTCCAAAAAAATCTTTAAAAAATATTATGCGTTTCAAAAAATACAAAAAAAAACTAAATATGACTATTATATTAACCAATAAATTATTTAATATATAGCTATCATTATATGATATTATGAGTCATATAATGGACAACACATAGTATGTGAACTTTTTACAGTAATTACTAAACTATTAATTGATTGATTTATTTAAATAATATTAACAAATTTATAGTATATATTATTTAAATACTAAATAAAAAGCATTTTAAAATTTTAAGTTATAAACAAACAAACAAAACTTTTCATATAATCTACTATTAAATTGAATTATTGAAATTTATAATCATAAATAATTTATGAATTATTTCAAAAAATTATCCAGTTTAAATATTTTGTTATTATTATTTTGTTTTTAAAATATCTTTAATTATTTATAAAACATTTAATTCATATAATAACAGTTTATACAATAAAATAATTATTATTATTAACAGTTAAATATTAAATTAAATATTATAAATATGAAATATATATATATGTTTTTATTAGTTTTTAATTAATTTAAGAAAAAAAATAATTTATTATATTGAGTTTACATTGTTTTTAATAAATGTTAGCTAAAAATTAATTATTAGTTGACGATATAGTGTGTAATATAAAAACAGTCCACCGATTGTGATGACGACCGCAAACACAATATACATAACTATAATAATCACCAATTGGTTGTTTTGTGGGGAACAGTCAATCAATGTCTTAATATCTTGCGATTCACACTATAGAAAAACAAAACAAAAAATATTACATCAAAGGGTTGGTATTAAATACATATATTATTTATGACATACAGACTGGCTATCAATATATTCACAGTATTGGATAGTTTTTTGATTATTCATTAAAACAATTGATACAAATTCATCAAATTGTGTACTAATGGCTATTATATTGAAACATTTAAACTGATTATTAGACTTTTTACGAAAACTAATCAAATAATCAATTGATTGGACTCTACTTTGTTTAAACAAATTGTAATAATATTTATGATTATTAGCAAATATGATGGATCTGTTAGAGACGGTCCACATATAGATATCATTGTTTGGAAGTTTTACTGTCGTTGAATTGATCCAATGGATATCATCAATATTTATGTTAGTAATACATGATTTTTTCATCCAATCAATCTTATTGTTCTAATAAAATTATAAGATTTAAAAAAAAATATTTAATTAATATATTAAAAATCAATCAATTGGTTGATTATTAATGTGTATATGGATTACCTCTAGAGAACCCATACGACAAAAAGGGAGTTCATTATCATCTATTTGTTGTTCATCTGAGACATTATGGGTGACATCAAACTTGAAAGACCAGATCATAGAGTACTTATCATCGGATAAGAAGTTAAACTGACCGGCACTTTGGGTGTCAATCATAATTGTGTTTTTGTCTTTGACCGACAATTTCCAGTAGGTTTTACCGATAAACAATAGTATCATATCTTCATCATATCCATAGTCTTTATACAAACTTATTGATACATCAATTTTATTATCATTTTTCAGATATTCTTCACAGAAATCTTTCGACTCAATGATGACAACCGATGCAATGGTCGACACCAACAGTGCTGTCAACAAAACATTTTATATTAATATAATTATATATATTTAAAAATAATTAATACATATATTTGATATATAAATACCAATCATATAAATGGATTTCATTTGTGTCGGCAATCAATGTGTGTTAACAGAGAAATTATATCAAATATAAATATACTATAAAAATATTATTTATCTTATAGTTAGTTAATAGTTATTTCTATGCTTAACTAATATTAATCAGATAATTATCTAAATATTTTTTTACAAATATTATGCGTTCAAATATGACTATTATATTAACCAATAAATTATTTAATATATAGATATCATTATATGATATTATGAGTCATATAATGGACAACACATTGTATGTGAACTTTTTTACAGTAATTACTAAACTATTAATTAATTTATCTTAAATAATACTAACAAACATTGTATATATAACATGCATTGTTTAAAAACTAAATAAAAAGTTAGAAAAAACAAATAAACAAAAAACTATATGTTTTAATATAATTTACTATTAAATTAAATTATTGACATTTATAATACTTTTATAATAATTTATGTATTATTTTACACATTTATAAATTATGTTATTATTATTTTGTTCTTAAAATATCTTTTAATTATTTAAAGTATTTTTTAATTAATTAATTAATTAATTGTAATTTAAAATGATAAAAACTATTATTTTAGATTATTTAATATTAAATTTTAACATATTTTAAATGTCAATTATATTATTATAAAAAAGTTTTAACAATAAAATAATAATTTTAATTATATTTAATAGTAATTAAATACTAAATTAAAGAATAATTATAATTATTTTACAGTGTATTTCATAACTATTAGCTAAAAATTAATTATCAGTTGACGAGTGATATTTGTAATATAAAGTCAATGTATCAACAATTATGATGACAATCGCAAATATACTGACAAACATAATAGACATCACTATAATAATCATTGATTGTTTGGTTTGTGGGGAACAGTCAATCAATGTCTGAATATTTTCCGGTCGACACTTAAAAAAGACAACAACAATAAAAATTATATATTAAAACAATTCATCAAAAAAAATTGCAATAAATTCATATAAAACTAGTTTTTTCAATAAAAATTATAACTTACAGTTTGTCTATATATGCGATGATTATCAATAAAAACCCAATGATTATCATAACAGTATTGAATAGTTTTGTTGTTAATATTTAGTAAAACAATTGATACAAATCTATCAAACCGTTCACTAATGGCTATTATGTTGCGATCATTAATCCGATTAAACGCTTTATGATAACTAATTATATATTGATTTGGTGTCAGTTTTGTTTGTTTAAATAAATAGTAATAATATTTCTGATTATTAGCAATTATGATGGATCTGTTAGTGACAGTCCATATTAAGTCTTGATTGTCTGGAAATTTAATTGTCGTTGAATTGATCCAATTGATTGAAGTCATATTACATGAAATTTCCATCCAATCAATTGTATGCATATCTTTCTAATAAATTATAAGTTTTTTTTAAAAAAATTATTTGATTAATATCAATAAAATATCAAATTGTTTAATGCTATGTATATATGGATTACCTGTAGATCACCGATACGACACAATGGCAGTACATTATCATCTATTTGTTGATCATATATATGTCTGTAGACATAATTATTGACAACAAACTTGAAAGACCAGATCATAGAGTACTTGTCATCGGATAATAAGTTAGACTGACTGGCACTTTGGGTTTCAAACATAATTGTGTTTTTATAATTGACTGATAACTTCCAGTAGGTGTTACCGATAAACAATAATATCATATCTTCAGGATATCCATAGTCTTTATACAAACTCATTGATACATCAATTTTGTTGTCATTTTTCTCATATTCTTCACAGAAATCTTTCGACTCAATGATGACAACCGATGCGATGATTAACACAGATAACAGTGCTGTCAATAATAAGATTAAAAAAAATAATTATTAAATAATACATATTTAATATATATATGAATACCAATTATATTAATGAATTTCATTTTTGTAGGCAATTAATGTATTAACAGAAACTTTTTACTTAATTTAGTATTAAATCAATAATACATTAAAATATTATTTATCTTAAAAAAGTTAGTTAATAATTATTATTTGTCTGATTAATAAATAGTAATTATAATTATATGTTGAACTGTTATACTATATGTTGAAATAGTTGCTTAAAATAATATTATGCGTTTCAAATATAGATATAAATAATTAACAAATTATGACTATTAGTAACCAATAAATTATTTTTATAAAATCATATTTTAAAAAACAATCATTAGATGATATGCGAACTCTTCTGGTATTTAATAAACTATTATTTATATTTACAATAATAATAATAATAACCAATCATATAACATGTATTGTGAAAATAAATCCAAAAAATTATCCTTGGTAATATTATATGTATTGTTAAAAAAACAACTAAAAAATGTTAGTAAACACTATTTAAACAAAAAACTATAAATTAGTTTTAATAGTAGTTATAATTTACAGATAACTTGAATTATTAAAATTTATATTTAAAATAATTAAAATAATTTGCTGTACTATTTTTTTGAATGACTAAAATAAATAAAATAATATATATATATTAGAAACTTTTAAGTTATAAATTATAACTTCTAAAACACATTTAACATGATATTTGCAATAAAAATGCATTGAAATACTACTGTATATAAACTTTTGGCGCCAAACATGCTATGAATACGTGTTTTTCTGCAAACGGGGTTTTGCTGTTTTATGGAGGAGGCGTTCATCGGAGAAAAAAATAATTGTTTTTATCGTAAAATTTAGATATGAATTATGAGTATACCATCAAAATGGCATCACTGGGTGTCTACAGGGAGGCGTAATACAAGTTTGTAAATGTTAACTCAAAAATGTCAAACAAATGCACTAATAGTCGTATAGACTTAACATCAATTGTTTTCCAAAAACTTAACCCAACTTTTTGGTGCTTTTAATATTTGACTATTATTTTATTACTGATTTAAATACAATATATTAAATTAAATATTTACAAATTTTGTTATTAATTATTTATAATACTATTTAAGCTATTCATTAAATGTATTATCAATAATAAAAACTATTGTTTTAAATTATATAATATTAAATTTTAACATATTTTTATATGTATTTATTTTGTTATTAAACAAGTAGTTTATACAATGAAATACTAATAATAATAATTATTATTAATTAAATATTATAATTATGAAATGAAAATAGAAATATATTTTTTTATTAGTTTTTAATTAATTAAACGAAAAAAAAATTATTTTATTATAATTAGTTTACATTGTATTTAATAACTTAATTATTATTTGACGATAGAGTTTGTAATATAAAATCAGTCCAACGATTGTGATAACGACAACAAATACAACAGACATCACTATAATAATCATCGATTGGTTGGTTTGTGGGGAACAGTCGATCAATGTCTTAATATCTTGAGATTTACACTATAGATAAACAAAACAAAAAAATTAATATTAAAATATTACATCAAAGGTTTGGTATTAAATTCATATACTGTATAATTTATGACATACAGACTGGCTATCAATAGATTCACAGTATTGGATAGTATTTTGATTATTCATTAAAACAATTGATACAAATTCATCAAATGTTGTACTAATGGCTATTATATTGTAACCTATAATCGGATTAAACTCTTTATGAAAACTAAGCAAATAATTAAATGATTGAACTGTATTTTGGTAAAACAAATAGTAATAATATTTATGATTATTAGTAAATATGATGGATCTGTAAGAGACGGTCCACATATAGTTATCATTGTCTAAAAGTTTTACTGTCGTTGAATTGATCCAATTGATATCATCATTATTTATGTTAGTAATACATGAATTTTTCATCCAATCAAATGTATGATTATCTTTCTAAAAACAATAATCAATTTAAAGTTTAATAAATATATCAAAAATATATCAATTGGTTGATTATTAATGAGTATATGGATTACCTGTAGAGTACCGTTACGACAAAATGGCAGTTCATTATCATCTATTTGTTGTCTAGCGTAGACATTATCGTTGAAATTATACATTAAATACCAGATCATAGAGTAGTTGTCAGCGGACAACAATTTATACTGACCATCACTTTGGGTGTCAATCATAATTGTTTTGTTAGCCTTAACTGACACTTTCCAGTAGGTGTTACCGATAAACAATAATATCTTATCTTCAGAATTTCCATACTTTTTATACATACTTATCGATACATTAATTTTGTTGTCATTTTTCAGATATTTTTCACAGAAATCAAATGACTCTATAATAACAACCGATGCGATGGTTAATACTGTCAATAATAAGATTTAAAAAATATAAAACATATTTAATATATATATATATATATAAATACCAATTATATAAATAACTTTCATTTATGTAGGCAATTAATGTATTAACAGAAACTTTTTACTTAATTTAGTGTCAAATCAATAATAAATTAAAATATTATTAATCTTAAAAGTTAGTTAATAATTATTATCATTTGTCTGATTAATAATAGTAATTATGTTGAAATAGTTGCTTAAAATAATATTATGCGTTTCAAATATAGATATTAATAATTAACAAAATATGACTATTAGTAACCAATGAATTACTTTATATAATATAACAATCATTAGATGATTAGTTAACTCTTCCGGTATTTAATAAACTATTATAATAATAATAATAACCAATCATATAACATGTATTGTGAAAAAGTCTAAAAATTATCAGTGGTAATATTATATGTATTGTTAAAATAACAAATAAAATATTTTTTAAACAAAACAAAAAAATATATATAAGAGTTTTAGTATAATTTACTGTTAACATGAATTATCTACGACACTATTTGTTAAAATGATTTAAATAAATTAAATAACGTATATATAATATAATATACATATATTAAAAACTTTTAAGTTATAAATTATTACTTCTAATACACTGTTAACATAATATAAGCATTTTTAATGCATTGAAATACTATATAACTTTTGGCGCCAAACATGCTATG